TTGAGGAAGGGAGGGGTGGTCACTGCAGTGACTTAATAAATCGCAATATAAAATGTACAACTTAAATGTACACAAATAAGATAGAACTTCCCAGCCTTTAAAAACAAAGAAGTATATTAATTAACATGGAGATATATCCATGGTTCCAGAGAGGTTTTTCAAACAACTTGTAAGCATCCTCTGTCTCCTTCTAGCACCACCAAATTCTCAAGCCCATCTGAGAATCACTGTTAATAAGAGAGTTACTACTCATGTGAATGTGCTGTGGATTTAAATAATGTGAAGGGGCCGGGTGCGGTGTCTCATGCCCATAATTCCAGCACTTTGGGAGGCTGAGGCAGGGGGATCATGAGGTCAGGAGATTGAGACCATCCTGGCCAACCTGGTGAAACCCTGTCTCTACTAAAAATTCAAAAATTAGGCTGGCATGGCGGCTGGCACCTGTAGTCTCAGCTACTTGGGAGGCTGAGGCAGGAGAATCTAGGAGGTGGAGGTTACAGTGAGCCGAGATCGAGCCACTGCACTTCAGTCTGGGTGATAGAGCGAGACTCTGTCTCAAAAATAATAATAATTAATGTGAAGGAAAATAAGATAATGAACCAGTGGGGTTGGAGCTTCTGGTCTCAACAAACCTTCCTGGTTCCAAGGCATCCCGAGTCCCAACATGAAGTTGAAGCTTTCATCCCCACACCTTTTAAGTCCGGAATCTCTGAATATCAAACCACAAAAACTGAATCCTGATAAAGTAGCAGAGGTTAAGCTGAGATAACTAGGGAAGAATAAGAAAAAGGACAATTCCAAGAAACCTCAGACTGCTTCTAGTAAACCCAAAAGGGGGTTAACAAAAGGACCAGAGGCTTTGGCAGTTAAGAGAGGATGTAGCTCTAGCAAGGAAAGCTTCTGAAGATGGAGGGCACTTCTGAAGAAGACAGTCATCCTGTTTTGTTTCTGTAATCTTGGATTTCAACTGCTTTCAACTTTTGCTGCCATGAGTGATCATAACTAACCTGAAGTTTTTTAATTGTTAGAAGGATCTTAGAGATAATCTAGCCATATCTATTTTCTGACAAGAAGACTTAGGGCACATAGCTCTTAATTAGAGAGTGGGATAGAACCCTTGCCCCTAGGTAGGGTTCCCCTGCATCCTGTAACTGTGGTTAAGTTGTAAAACTGGAGATGTAATAGGTGGAGATTTTATTTTACAGAAGGAAAAGGAGTTTGAGGATTGTTTTCCTCCTTTCTAGAGGTTATTTGCTCTATTCAGGGATATTGAGATAGTTGTATAAAGTGAGTAACAAAGGGCAATTTGTCTTCCATACTCACTGGGCCATATTGTTAGTGTTCCTAGAACAATGACCTGTAGAAATTAGAGTATCTTGTGGGGTGGGATATGATGGAAAGGATGCCTTGAAGCCAGAGAAATTGAGATTGTTGATGTTGTTTCAAGCAGCATTCCTGCACTTTGACTGTCTTGGTATGGTTGAAGGACATAAATCGTGTGCCTGTGTTCCTCTTTGCTCCTCAGTATTAATATCATACGGAGTCTGAGGGTTTGGATATGGACCTGGCTGTTTACAGAACTTAGAATGCAGTGTGCACATAATTCATCCATTTATTTATTCGGTAGATGTTTAACTCCCCAGTATGTGTGAGGTTCTGTTTTATGTGCTGGGGATATGGCAATTAAAACCAACAAAAGTCCTGGCCATCTTGGCCTTTTACACCCTGGCAGAGAGAAACAAACTAAACAAGTAAATAGCATGGATAGAATATGGGATAGTGATACAGCTGGAAAGCAGGTTAGGGAATCCCAGGGTAGGATTGGAGGGTTACGGTGTTAGATAGGGATAGGTCAGAGCAAGCCTCAGTAGAAGGTGACATTTGAGCAACAACCTGAAGGAGATGAGAGAGGGAGCCATTGCTTCAGGTTGAGGTAGTGAAGGGCAGGACCCCGGTTTGTGATGCAGGAGAATGCCTGCTGTGTGTGCAAGTGCAGGGGAGTAGAGGGTAGTGTGGGGGGAGGCAGTATAACTGAAGTAAGTGAGGATCAGTCATGGATGATAAGATCCGAGAGACAGTAGAGTCCATGCAGCCTATTGCAAGGACTTTGGCTTTTATCTGATTGAACTGGTGCCACTGAAGGACTTTGAGCAGAGGAGTGACGTGATCTGACTTAGGTTTTTCAATTAATTTTTCCAAATTGGCTTTTCTAAAAGATTGTACTAGTTTATATTTCTATCAACAGATCAGCAGATTATAGAGAGTTCTTTTGCACCATCACAACAATAGAGAATTATTAAACTTCCTAATTTTTACCTATTTGATAGGTGAAAAATAATATTAATTTGCATTTTTTTTTACGAGACAAGTTCTTGCTCTGTCAGTCCATGGCATGATCATTACAGCCTTGATATCCTAGGCTCAAGCCATCCTCCAGCCTCAACCTTCTGAATAGCTGGGACTACGGTCACCTGCTACTGTGTCTAAGTTTTTGATTTTTAGTAGACAAGGTCTCACTTTTTTACCCAAGCTTGTGTCAAGCTCCTGAGCTTAAGTGATCATCCTGCCTCAGCCTCCCAAAGTGCTGGGATTATAGGCATGAGCCACCTCAATTGGCTGCATTTGTCTTAATTCTGTTTTTTTTTGAAACGGAGTCTCTCTGTCACCCAGGCTGGAGTACAGTGGCATGGTCTCGGCTCACTGCAACCTCTGCCTCCCAGGTTCAAACGATTCTCCTGCCTCAGCCTCCTGAGTATCGGGGACTACAGGTGTGTGCCACCACACCCAGCTAATTTTTTTTATTTTCAGTAGAAATGGGGGTTTCACTATGTTGGCCAGGCTGGTCTTGAACTCCTGACCTTGTGATCTGCCCTCCTTGGCCTCCCAAAGTACTGGGATTACAGGTATCAGCCACTGTGCCAGGCCTGTTTAATTTTTTTTTTTTTGAGACAGTTTCGCTCTGTCACCAGGTGCCAGGCTGGAGCGCAGTGGCTCGATCTTGGCTCACCCCAACCTCTGCCTCCCGGGTTCAAGCAATTCTCCTGCCTCAGCCTCCTGAGTACCAGGGACTAAAGGCGTGTTCCACCATGCTCAGCTAATTTTTATATTTTAGTAGAGATGGGGTTTCACCATGTTGGTCAGGATGGTCTCGATCTCTTGACCTCATGATCTTTCTGCCTCGGCCTCCCAAAGTGCTGGGATTACAGGCATGACCCACTATGCCCGGCCCAGTCTGTTTAATTTTGAGGTAGAATTGACTTGACTTCTTTTATGACCTGCCTTTTTGTGTTCTTTGCCCTTTGAGTATTTCAGCTTTTTCTTTCTTACTAATTTTCTAGAGCCTCTTTCTATTTTAATGAAATGGCAATCATTTTCCTATTGTGTTTTGACTTCATTTATACTTTTTTTTTTACCTTTTCTCAAGTTTTATTTATTTTTTTTTTTCAAGAGACATGTTACCTAGGCTGGACTAGAACTTCAGGGCTCCTCCTGCCTCAGCCTCCCAAGTATCTGGGACCAGAAGCACATTCTACCATGCCTGGCTTAAAGTTTGAAATTTTAATATATTAGCATTTCTCTTTCTTCCTTTTATGCCATCTTTTTTTTCCATGTGAAATTTATTTTGATTTAAAGAGTGATGTGTAGGGATCAGATTTTCTTTTTCCAATTGGCCAATGGTTGTCTCAGCCCTAAATTTAGGGACCTTATCTCATCTGATTTGAAATGCTACCTTGATTCCATCCCAGGGTCTCATTTGGGTGTAGCACCCACGTAATTTTTTTTTTTTTTTTTTTTTGAGACAAAGTCTCACTCTGTCACTGAAGCTGGAGGGCAGTGGCATGATCACACAGCCTCAACCTCCTGGGCTTAAGCAATTCTTCCACCTCAACTTCCCGAGTAGCTGGGGCTACATGCATGCACTACCATGCCCAGCTAATTTTTGTATGTTTTGTAGAGACGGGCCTTGCCATTTGTCCAGACTGGTCTTTGAACTCCTGGACTCAAGCAATCCACCCCACTCGGCCTCCCAAAATGCTGGGATTACAGGTATGAGCCATTGCGCCTGGCCATCATCAGCTTTTTTTTAATGGCAGGGAGAATAGGTAAACAAATATTAACTGAGCATCTTCAATTGCCTTTCTTTTGGTATCTTTAGGAAGTTCACTAGCCAGAGTTAGAGCATCTGAGTAATTAAGATTGCTGGGAGTAAGGTGAAGGGGGACAATAATAAGCTCCATATCAGTATACTGAGTGTCATGAGGTGGAGTTGAGAATAGTAGAATAGATGTCTGCCAGGTACAAAGCCTCAATAAGTAATAGGTAAGCAGTAAGCAATAAGGTAGATGTGTGAATGCCAGTGTCATATGCTGGGATGATAATATATTCGCTTATGTGGAACAGGCCTCTCAAAAATAAATTTGCTAATTGTGTGACATACAGAAAAAATACAAAATATATATGGAGAAGAGATTAGTGTGGGGTGGAATACTGAGGGGAAGAATAGCCTCTTTACTGGTTATATTTCTGCTATATTTTTGTTCTTAAGCCTATTTTCAATAGACCTCTTACCATAGTCTGAGATTTTAGTACATTAAAATACTTGCTGATCCTGTCTGCCTTTTTGTGTGAAATATAAAACTTATGAAATTCAAATATGTCTGTTCAGTGGTGCTCTGCTTTTGTTTACGATTGGGATTATTTTAGCTACTAAATAAAGAATTAGCTTTGCTAGGCTAAAAGACTTTATTCATGACTAATCTTGGACTGTGTATATTATTGTGTGTGTGTGTATACAAGTATATGCTGCAGTGATTTAATTTGGTAGGATTGGGACCAGAATCTAGGTCTTGTGTTTTAACTCAGTGGTCTTAGACTAAACTACTTGGTTTTACTCTTCCATAGTGGAGACATAAAACATGGCATAATCTTCTTTATATGGTATACATACATGGGGAGCGTCCCCAGGGTTTGACTATAATTCCTCAGAGTTTCCCTTATAGGACTGGCTGGACAATGGCCCAGAACAAGCTATTCAACAAGATCCTCAAAGCCCTGCAGTCTGACCGGCTTGCCCGCTTGGCCAATGAAGGGGTAAGACACCAGAAATCTGCCCACAGTGGGCTCCTCGTAGTTCAGGCCTCACTGGCTGACTGACTTGTCCCCCCTCTTGCTAACCAGGTAGTCCTCATGTTTTATCACTTCCACTTACATCCTTCAGGCTTGTAATGAGCCAGTGCTGCGCCGTGTTGCTGTGGACAAGTGTGCGAGGAGAGTGCGGCAGGCTCTGGCAAGTGTGAGCTGGGACACCAAGCTGATCCAGTGGCTGCACACCACCCTTGTGGAGACCTTGAGTCTGCCCATGCTGGCAGCCTACCTGGATGCTTTGCAGACGCTGAAGGGGAAGGTAAGGCTGTGATTGGTGTCTGCCCTGTCCTGGGGATAGCTAGCCTCTCCTGTGGGTTCAGGATGTGGGATCGGGCAAGGTAATTATCGTGGTTGGTCTGGAGAGCATGGCCGAAGCTGTGGATTTGGTATTAAAATTGGGAGATAGGGTATCATTTCACATTTGTGTCTGGTGTACACATTTTTAGCCCTGCTGGCTCCAGGATGAGGTGTGGGGTCTGAAAACCAGAGTATACATTTAGCTTTCCTAGCCTTGCAGCTTGTGGTTTGAGTCTTGGTTGAGTTGAATTGTCATGAAGGAGATGAAGGGTTTACCAGGGAGGAATATGTTGAGAAAGGTGACAGAAACAGACCCTTGGTGCTCGAAGCATTGGGAGATTGCAGAGCAGGAACATGCTATGATCCCTTTGACTCTGCTCTCCAGGGCATGAGCCTTTAGTAACAACACTTAGACTTTTATAATTCAGTACAAACATACTTCCCTGCTTTCTTACTTAGTATTGCACAAAAAGTTAAAACTTTTTCTTGGTGATACCAGTGATTGCATCAGGCTATCCTCAGTGTGGTAGAATGCAGATGCTGGAGACAGATTTCTTGGCTGATCTCAGCTTTGTCAGTGATTAGCTGTATAAGCTTGGATTGGTGTATCATCTCTAAAATGTGGTTGATAATAATACCTATCTAGGATTTTTGTGAAAATTTAATTAGTTTATTCAGGTAGGGCGCTTAATACAAAATTGGGCACATAGTAAGCAGTGAGCCCACAGTAACTTTTGTTTTTGGAGGCAGAGTCTCTTTCTGTCCCTCAGGCTGGATTGCGGTGGTACGATCTTGGCTCATTGCAGCTTCCACCTCCTGAGTTCAAGCAACTCTCATGCCTCAGCCTCCCAAGTAGCTGGGATTACAGGCACACACCAACACGCCTGGCTAATTTTTGTATTTTTAGAAGAGATGGGGTTTCACCATGTTGGTCAGGCTGGTCTTGAATGCCTGACCTCGTGATCCGCCAACCTTGGCCTCCCAAAGTGCTGATATTACAGGCTTGAGGCACCACACCCTGCCAGCCCACAGTAACTATTAACAGTTTTTTAAGTAGTACCCTCATAGGTTCTTGAAATATCTGGGGTGTTTTTTGCTCCAATTCAAAATGGTCTCAGGGCTGGGTGTGGTGGCTCATGCCTGTTATCCTAGCATTTTGGGAGGCTGACACAGGAAGATCACTTTAGCTCAGGAGTTTGAGACCAGCCTAAGCAACATAGCAAGACGTTGTCTCTACAAAAATAAAAAAATTAGCCACGCACGGTGGCACACATCTGTTGTCCCAGCTACTTAGGAGGCTGGTGAGAGGAGGCTGCAGTGAGTTTGATTCCACCGCTGCACTCCAGTCTGGGTGACGGAGACTCTGTCTCAAAGAGAGCGAGAGAAGAAGAAAAGAGAAAGAAAGAATTGAATCAATCCAAGTTGTCTGAGGCCTTTTTTTAACCTTTGGAGATAGGGTCTTCCTCTCACTCACACTGGAGTGTGGTGGCACTGTCAGAGCTCACAGCTCACTGTAACTTCAGACTCCTGGGCCCAACTGATCTGCCTGCCTCAGCCTCCCAAGTTGCTGGGACTAGAGGGGTGTGCCACCACCACATCCAGCTAAATTTTTAATTTTTTTTTTTTGTAGGGACAGGGTCTTGCTATATAAGCTAGTCTTGAATTCCTGGCCTCAAGCAATCCTCCCATCTTGGCCTCCCAAATTGCTGGCATGAGCCTGATTCAGTTCTTGATTTAAAAAAAAAAAAAGTTTTACTTTCTGCTTTACAGGAAGCTGGCTCATCTTGCTGCTGTAAGTTGCCTGGCCTACATGTGCCCTCAGCCACATCCCCAAAACTTGCAGACTCATGTTTCTAATCAATTTTTAAGTTAAAGGGTGCCAAGTTTGTTAGAAGACTGGTTTAGTGCTGAAATAAAACTCAGGACTAGACACATTAATGATATTAATGGTAGGAAATTTGACATTAGTTTTTTCATTTAATACTTATTTTGGGCCCTATGTGTGCCAGGCACCGGGGTGAGCAAAACAGAACTGCTCCCTTCTCTGGTGGAGCATGTTTTCTGGTGAAGAGAGAGACAAATGAAAAAGGGAGTTCCAGACTTTTTCCCGTACTGCTCCCCTGTAATAGAAACCCTGGACCCAGGAGGTGAGTGGTGGACAGGTAGAGTGTGGGACCCATGCCTGATCCTGGCAGACAGAAAGTGGTGGCCCAGGAATATTGTTGGCATCTTCACATATTCTCCTCAGCATTCTACCTGTGGTTAAAGTGTAACATTGGTGAATACACTCTACGAGGTGAGTGTTGGTAATAATGCCCAGGATTCCAGTTCTCTGGTGACCCTGCCTCACGCATCATGGCTAGCATAATTTCCCTTTAAGGAGGAATTTGTACTGCTGCCCTATTGAAGTTTCCAACTGGGCATATCCTATGTGAATACCAGATATTATGAGCATGACACACCACTGGGGAGACTCTTATAGTTTGCATAGTTGGGTGCTTTCCTCCCATGCTAGGGTGTGAGTTGGCTGGTATGGTGGAAGGCTCACTGGTACACTGGTCAGCAAGGGTCTCAGACTGGAGGCAATGTCGGCTTTTGGCTGTGCTCTCTGCAGTAATCACTATTACCATCAGACTCTTACTTTCCCATGACTATATTTAAATTCACACAGATTCTTTGATTGTTTCCCAAAGGATATAAATGATTATAGGATCATTTTGCTTTTAAAGTGCCCGCTGGATGTTAAAGTGCAGGTGGATGGGATCATGCTTTTCCTCCAGCTACTTTCACCATTAGATCCATTATGATAAAGAGGGCAGAGAAGGTACAGACCTGAGCCTTTTAGTTGGCTGTTGAGAGTGAATGCAATGCTGGAAAGGCCAGGGAAGCTTGGTCTTCCCAGCTCCAAGTGGAAAAGTCCGTTATTATTTATCCTTTGTTGACAGGAAGCAAGTTTCAAGGCTTTTTGGTTTCATAGCTGTACTCTACTGCTAGATAAAGTTTTAACCCAGGGTCAGATCCTTTGCTTCAAAGTGTTGAGTGGCTCACAGTTCTAGAGTAAGTTACGAAGAACATGAAGATCCTTTGTGATTTGGTCTTAACCTTTCCTACTGGCTTTACATCCTTCTTCTTCCTTACTTGAATCCTTGACTTTAGTCCTCCTGTTCCTGGAATAAGCTCTGTGAGTTTTTGCCTCTTGCTGCTGGTGTCTCTGATTGGAAGGCTTTTCTCTCATCTTTTGTTGGAATCCTGCCTGTTCCAAAGATCCTGTCTCATTTCACATGGTGTATCTTTAGATGGAAATTGCCTGTTAACTTCTCCTCCGTTGGGTGGTTTGAATCATAGCAGTTTGGGATTCTGTTTCTTTCTTGGCAGTTACCAGTCTTTCCCTGTCCCCATCCCCCACCATTATTTGTGTGTTTGTCTTCATTACCTCATGTAGATGAAATTCCTGTGCAGCACTAGCCTGGTGCCTTGTAAAAGCAGTTGCATGAGTATTTGTTTCCTGAGTTAAACTGAGAAAGTCTAATGGTTGTATTCCTCTAATTTATCATGCAGAAATCCTTTTAGTGTCTCTGTTTTTAAATTAAGAGCCACTTATCTTCTGCTATTTTTGGAGTTTTACAACTTGCATCAAACTGTAGTACTTTTTATTTTGCAATTTTTCAAACCTTTTTTGTTTTTCTGAAAAGCATCTCTAATATTTAAACATTTTTCCTTTCCCCTAGGTCATTTTGACCTTTTGTGGGTAGCATGGAATTCGCAGATATTTCTTCTCAGTGTAAGCATCAAGATATCTGAAACCTATATTTGCATATCTGTAATACCACATTTCTGGTAGATAGTAAACAGAACTTGAGGTAAAGTACACTGTACATAGTATAGCAGAGTATAGTTTTTTGGACATAATAACAGATTTCTTTAGTACACTATGGCTTGAAGGCAGTACTCTAGAAGAAAATGAAGATTTTAAAAAATGATAAAATCAGCTGATACTCATTGAGGAAAGTTAGGGAACATAGAAATCTGTAAAGGAAAAGTCACCCATAACGCCATAGAGATCATTATTAACATTTTGGCATATTTTCTCTTCTTTTCTTTTCTTTCTTTCTTTTTTTTTATTTTTGAGACAGAGTCTCCCTCTGTTGCCCAGGCTGGAGTGCAATGGCACGATCTTGGCTCACTGCAGCCCCTGCCTCCTGGGTTCAAGTGATTCTCATGCCTCAGCCTCCCGAGTAGCTGGTACTACAGGCGTGCAGCGTATTTTCTTATAGTCTTTTTTTCTGAGTAGAGATGATTTTTTTCTTTTTTTTTTGAGATGGAGTTTCCCTCTGTCGTCCAGGCTGGAGTTGCAGTGGCGTGATCTTGGCTCACCACAACCTCCACCTCCTGAGTTCAAGTGATTGTTGTGCCTCAGCTTCCCAAGTAGCTGGGATTACAGGTGTGCACTACCACGCCTGGCTAATTTTTGTATTTTTAGTGGAGACAGCATTTCACATGTTGGCCAGGCTTGTCTTGAATTTCTGACCTCAAGTGATCTGCCCACCTCGGCTTCTTAAAGTGCTGGAATTACAGGCATGAGCCACCGAGCCCAGCTGTGAGTAGAGATAATTTTTATATTTTCTATTTTACCTGTAACATTTTAGCAAAATATATTTCTGTATGTTATTGTAAATTCTTGTAAATATTTAAAAACTGGGGTGGTGGCTGACGCCTGTAATCCCAGCACTTTGGGAGGCTGAGGCAGGTGGATCATTTGAGGTTAGCAGTTTGAGACAAGCCTGACCAATATGGTAAAACCTCATCTCTACTAAAAATATAAAAAATTAGCTGGGTCTGGTGGTGCACACCTGTAATCTCAGCTACTTGAGAGGCTGAGGAACGAGAATTGCTTGAATCTGGGAGGCAGAGGTTGCAGTGAGCTAAGATCAGGCCACTGTACTCCAGCCTGGGTGACAGAGCAAGACTGTCTCAAAAAATAAACAAGTAAATAAAAACAAATAAATTCTTGTAAATACTTGAAAATAATCTTTAATATCCAATTAGGTAGATACTTGACTTAACTACTCCCTTATATATACATATATATATATTAAATTGCTTTTCACAGTTATTATTCACAGTGATTTGTCCCTGTGCATGACTCTCCCCATTCTTTTGTGTGTGTTTTTGTTTCTGATACGTTTTCTTTGGAAAGGTTCTCAGAAGTAAAAACAGTTGGAAGAGGGATGGGAATACATTTAAGTCGCTTGCTGCATATCCAGACTGCTTTCCAAACAATTGTACCTATTCACTTTTCATGGTGGGAGCATACTTATCAGCCATTCATTTATATATACTCTTGCTCCTGAGGAGGTTTTCAGAGGCTTGGTTGAAGTCTGTCTGTGGCTCATAGTGGGGCTCTGTTCTCCTGCTTGATTGCGGTGGTGGAATGTCTCCTGTTTCACATTGGAATCATCTTTGCTCTGTCTTCTTCGTAGATCCCAACCTTGATTGACCGGATGCTTGTGTCATCCAACACGAAGACTGGGGCTGCAGGAGCTGAGGCCTTGTCTCTCCTACTGAAGAGGCCCTGGGACCCTGCTGTGGGGGTGCTTTCTCATAACAAACCAGTAAGTTGGATGGCTCAGGACTTAACAATGGCACATAAAAAATTTAGACTCAAGCCTTAGAACCTTGGCAGGAGGATAAATGGTTCCTTAACTTTTTTTTTTTTTTGAGACAGAATCTCACTCTGTTGCCCAGGCTGGAGTGCAGTGGTGTGATCTCGGCTCACTGCAACCTCCACCTCTTGGGTTCAAGCACTTCTCCTGCCTCAGCCTCCTGAGTAGCTGAGATTACAGGCATGTGTCACCATGGCTGGCTAATTTTTGTGTTTTTAGTAGAGATGGAATTTCACCATGTTGGCCAGGCTGGTCTTGAACTCCTAACCTTAGGTGATCTCTGTCTGCCTTGACCTCCTGAAGTGCTGGGATTGCAGGCGTGAACCAGCATACCTGGCCAGCTTCTTTAACTATTATTAATAATTTGTTTTGTACGGTGCTTAACATACTTTCACAAGCAAAGGAGCATTTGTTGGGATGAGAAAGGTATTGGGATACTTGGAATTTCATGGAAGAGCACTTCTCACTCACTGGGTTTTGGGTGGGATTCTTCCTCTTCAGAGCAAACTCCCTGGCTCCCCGCTGATTCTCATCGCTTCTTCTGGTCCCTCCAGCTCTGTGTTTCCCACTTCGCGCCGCCACCGATTCTGGCAATCTCAGCTCTCCTGCTTAGGCAAGGTATGTGTAGGGCAAAAGGAACTCCCTCCTGGCCAAGATTATAGTCTTGGAGGACTGAGGAGGAGAATATGTGGGAGGGGATCAAAATGGATAACTTGAATGTGGAGCCTCCCCTAACCCTTCTTTTATGTGGAATTCCAAGGATAAAGGTATTTAGGGTAGGTTAAACAGAATGGAAAGATTTGAAACTGATCTCTGCTGGCGTGGGTGCTAATTCTTTCCTTCAGGTCATCCCTGTAGCCACCCATCTGCTGAACAATGGCAGTGGGGTAGGAGTTCTGCAGTGTCTCGAGCATATGATTGGGGCAGTGAGAAGCAAAGTGCTGGAGGTGAGTGCCCCTATTTCAGTTCACTGTGGTACACCCAGCATTCTGGGCTTGTTCTGCACCCATCTTCGGCCTCCTGTCTTACTGTCGTCTTTCTCTTCCTATGAAGATTCACAGCCATTTCCCACACAAACCCATTATCTTGATTGGCTGGAACACAGGAGCTTTGGTGGCTTGTCATGTGAGTAATTTCTGTCTTATTTGGAGGTTGTCCTGGGATGGAATACTACTGCTACTACTCATGATAGCTACCACTGAGTCCTTTACTATGTTTCAGGCACTGCGCTAGATACTTTACCTATTTAATTGCATTTTAAACTCTAGAAGACAAATGTTGAAAAAATTTTTAACTTTATTGAGGAAAACTTTAAGCAGAAACAAAAGCAGATTTAGTGTAATAAATCTCTCTGGGACCCTTACCGAGCTTTACCAGTGATCAACTCTTGGCTGGGCTTGTTTCATCTTACCCTGCTCATTTTCTTTCTCCCCCAGATTATTTTGAAGAAAATTCCAAATATCGTAGCATTTTTACTTATATGTATATATTTTAGCATATAGCTGTAAAAAAAAAAATCCATTTTTTTTCTAAACATAAGTACTATACCATTCTCCCACATAGAAAAATCACAATAATTGTAGCTGGCAAATATTAATAGCAATGGAATTTGATGCTATGTTTATTTCAGTCCCTTTCCAAGATATTAAGGAATCTTTTAGTATTTTGCAAACAGTTGTATGCTTTTCAGTTTGTGTAAGTGTCCCTCATGTGTCCATAGCCTCGATTTTGCTTCATGCAGTCCAATCAAGTATGATAGCTGTGAGAGGAAGGTTATCTTCCCTTAGTCCTTGCTTCAAGTGGTGGGCCTTAGCAGTTGCTCCAAGAAATCTAGGATGTCTGGTAGCTATCCATTAAGTTCAACAGAGAGAAATTTTTTTTCACTTAAGGGTTAATGGCAATATTGTGTTCTCCTGACTATACTTACCATTTGTGGGGAAAAATGGAGCAAGAGGGCTCTAATCGAGGAGGTTGACACGGTAGGAATACTAAACCTTCTATCTAATGGTTCAGCCACCTGCTGGGGTCCTCATGGGGCCTCGGTTCTCTAGGTAGTAGCTGCTTGTGGAATGACATACCTTGTGTCTTGTGCTCTTACTGCTGCCATTGTGGCAGAAGATGCACCCGGTATTAGGACAAGGATGGAAGAGGTGAGACTGTCTGGTGGGTCTGGACCACTCCTGGATTCTGGGTAGGCTAAGGTGCCATGAACTCAGTTGACCTTTAGACAAACCATGCTGCTGTTATTTACAGGTGTCAGTGATGGAGTATGTCACTGCAGTTGTCTGCCTTGGCTTTCCTCTATTTACCGTGGATGGCCCCAGAGGGGTAAGAATGTGGTGAAGCTGAGTGCTGGGTCATTGGCAGCGGGAGTGCATGTCTCGTCCAAGCTGATGCTGAGGTTGACTGAGTTGCATGGCTGATCCTCCTGAGTGGAGTTTCCAGGTCAGTGCTTTGTGAATATGAAGAAGCCAGTTCTAAAACCTGTACCTGTTTTAGGATGTAGATGATCCCCTCTTGGATATGAAGACTCCAGTCCTCTTTGTCATTGGTCAGAATTCCCTTCAGTGTCACCCTGAAGCCATGGAGGACTTTCGGGAGAAGATTCGAGCTGAGAACAGCTTGGTGGTGGTTGGGGGAGCTGATGATAATCTCAGGTGGGTAGATTCTCCCAGAGCTGCAAGAGAGCTGTGTTACAGTGAGAAATACCCGTAAGCTGGTAATGTAATTATAGACCAATCTGGTTCAGTTAAAAGAGAGCATTAAAAAAAACTCTTTTAATATTTAAAATTTCAGATTTATAAAAAGTTAAACACTAGTACAAAAAAATTCCCATATACCCTTCACCTGATTTTATAAATGTTAACCATCTTACATAGCCAAAGGGTAGTTCTCAAAATCAAGAAATTAACATCGACATGATGCTATTATCTAGTATACAGACTCACATTTCATCAGTTGTTTCCCTAATGTTATTCTGGTCCAGCATCCAGCCTAGGGTCACACTTGGATTTAGTTGCCATGTCTCCTTGATCTCCTTTAATTTGATAGGGTTCCTCCATCTTTGTCTTTCACAACCTTGAACTTTTCTTTGAGATGGAGTCTCTCTGTCACCCAGACTGGAGTGCAGTGATGCAATCTCAGCTCACTGCTACTTCTATTTCCCAGGTTCTGGATAGAGTGAATCTATTAAGTTATACGTATAGGAATTCTGGAGTGGACTGTCCTGGGCACTGTGCTTGGCTTCTTTTTTTCCCCTTTGAGATGGAAATTGCTCTTGTTGCCCAGGCTGGAGTGCACTGGTGCGATCTCAGCTCCCTAAAACCTCCATCTCTTAGGTTCAAGCGATTCTCATGCTTCAGCCTCCTGAGTAGCTGGGATTACAGGCATGGTACCCGCCACCACACCTAGCTAATTTTCATATTTTTGGTAGAGACAGGGTTTCATGTTGGCCAGGCTGGTCTTGAACTCCTGACCTCAGGTGATCCGCCCACCTCAGTCTCCCAAAGTGCTGAGATTACAGGTGTGAGCCACCATGCCTGGTCAGTTTCTTTACATATGTTATTTTATTTAATCCCCACAACTCCATGAATGAGATGTTATGTTTTCCCATTTTGCAGATGTGGAAATAGGTTTAGAGAGGTTGCATTACCTGCCTAAGACTTAACATGGCCCTCCTTCTGGGCCTAGAAAGTAAGCAACTCAGAAAAGAAATACATTCTTATTTTCCTAGGATGCCATGGAATGTTTAAGAAGTAAACAGGTCATCCTTTTTGTTTCTTAGAATAAGCAAAGCAAAGAAGAAATCAGAAGGATTGACTCAGAGCATGGTGGACAGATGTATTCAGGTAAACAGTTGTTTTGTGTGCTTTTCTCAGCTAGGCTTGCCTTTCCATAGCCTTTTAGGTTTGGTCTTTTTGGTAGTAGCCTCTTTGGCTCTGAAGGGCTCCACTGGGGCCTCTGGTAGAGTTCAGTCATGAGCAAAGAAAAGAAAAATGAGAGTGGTGAACTAATATAAGCAAAGCATCTGGAGGAAGAGTGTTAGAAAAGTGGTGGAGTGTGACCACCCTAGAACTCCTCCTGACAAAGGCACTTGGTGGTCTTGAACCACAGTTGCTCGGAAGCCTGGGATTTGTGCTAGGCTTTGTTTGAGTGCAGAAGGACTGGCACATCTGGATGCCAGAGCTGAGGGGGAATCTATTTTAGTTGGAAACTATATGAGAGGTTCCTGTTCTCCAGATGAGAACTAAAAGGCATTGGTTGGCTCCTCTATACACTAGGATGAGATTGTGGACTTTCTGACTGGAGTGCTCACTCGTGCTGAGGGTCACATGGGCTCTGAACCTCGGGATCAGGATGCGGAGAAGAAGAAGAAGCCCCGTGACGTGGCCCGCAGAGACTTGGCCTTTGAAGTCCCTGAGCGGGGCAGTCGACCTGCCTCTCCAGCCACCAAACTGCCCGCCTCGCCCTCAGGCTCAGAGGTAGTGTGAGCAGAGAGGGGGGCGCTTTTGCTGGGGAATCAGCACCACAGAGTTGTTTCCTTAACTTCCTGGGGATTCCTGTGTCTTGTTAGTGCCATGTGCCTGTGAATTACTACAAGGGGAATTCCAGAGGGACATGCCAACTGATAGTCAGATCCTAATAACATTGGCTCATCTCTTGGCCTTCTCACCTTAGGATCTCTCCAGTGTGTCCAGCAGCCCCACCTCCAGTCCCAAGACCAAAGTGACCACAGTGACCTCTGCCCAGAAGTCCAGTCAGATTGGAAGCTCTCAGCTGCTGAAGAGACATGTGCAGCGGACAGAAGCTATGCTGACCCACAAACAAGCTCAAGGTATAGGCACCTGGCCAGTTGCCCCTCTTGGGTCTGTCTTCTGTAGTTCATGTCACATGACAGTTACACAGTATTGATATCTACAGCTTTTCTCGGGGATGTGAGAGGTACCCTTTCTCAGATTTCTGTGGAGGCAAAATTCAAAATTAATTATTGAAATAAATGCCAAGGGCTCTGAATTAGTAGGGCTTTGTGATCACTAGTTATAGCTTTATCTTGCTGTTCTGGGGAGGCTAGGCTTTATGAACATGTATATTGACCTAAACTTTTTTCTACCTACTAACTGGAGAAGTACGTCTTGTTCCAGGCCTTGCCAAGCCACTCCTCTAGTCGGGGCTCTCCAATCATATGTACTAGATGATGGATTTTATTCATCAGATTCTAGGGCAGTTCACCTGGCATCATGCCCTTTCTTTGTTTGACCCTTGAAGTGTCAAGATTCCCACTGAGACTTTTGGTGAAGTTTATCAGGGTTCTCTGTAGGTAGGTTTCAGATGAGGCTGGGAAGTCTTCATATGGTTGAAAGTAGGAGTTTGGAGAGCTGTGAGTGCAAGGAGCTATAGGAAAGGGAGAGTTCATTGGGTAGGGAAAGAAAAAACAGTGGCTCTGTCCTCCTTCCACCACATTTATCCAGTTGGGTGGCCTTGAGGTAAGGCCTCTTGGTCATTGATGCTTGACGATGTGTCCAGGAGCATGTGTTGCCTGGGCTTCTCAGGAATGGGGATACCTGGGAAGAGGCAGCAGCCGTAGTTGGCTGTCTGGCAGACAGATATGGAGGGGATAGGAGGCTCGTCTGCTTACTTTTCCTGTGTTTTTCTTAGTGGAACCAAAGGATCAGAACCAGAACTCAGACCTCTTGTGAGTTTGCTTGTAAGAGGATGGTGCTAACAAGGAGTAGAAGTGTGAGTGGATGGGAGAAGTTGAGAAGTGAGGCCAGGCCTTGAGGGTGTACACAGATGCTCTGCCATGGATCTTCATGAGTGGTGGCCAGAGCCAAGTCCTGTGTGGGCAGTGTGTCCTTAGACTTTTGATGAAGACAGAGCTGGCGGTCTGCTCTGCTTCTGGAGGGGGTGATTAGTTGAGAATCTAAGGAGTTTTGGAAGGCTGATTGGTGAGCCGGGTTTGAAATGGGGACCCAGGATGTCATGGGGGAGAGTAGCAGTTTTAGAATCCTGGCTTAACAGAGCTGATGGGCAAACAGGGAATGCTAATAGCGAGTGTATATGGAGTCCTTGCTGTGTGCCATGCCCTCTTCGTGGCACTCACCTTGCTGTAGTTCGTTGAGTTTTGGCATGGCCCCATGAGGCAGGTAGTACTATTCAGTTTTAGATGCTTTTGCAGACCTGCTTCAAGGCAGAGTCAGGTTACCATGCAGTAATTTCAGAAGGAGCCCCTATTGGCCATTTTCTACAGCCTTTTCATATTTTTCTTATTCCCTCTCTTTTTCTCCCTTCTCTGGCTGGCTGTGATTCTATAATTCTTTCTGATTCATTCCAGCACAGTTTGCTGCTTTTCTGAAACAAAATATGCTGGTGAGGAAAGCTCTTCCTCCTGGCACCTCCTCCTGTCTCTTTGGTGAGTATTACTCTTTCTTGCCTACTCATCCACTGCATTCTGCTCCTCACGCCCTTATTTCTTTTCCATCTCTGCCTCTCATCTGCCTCAGATTGTTTTCCTCCTGTTCTTTTCTCTCTTTTTCTATCTTTGTAATCTTTTGTTTTGCTGACCACTTTTGCTTACTCTGTAGGCTTTGTCCTTTTTTCATTCTTCTGTTTGCTTCTCATGGTGTTTTTCTTTTTTGTCTCAGTATGGTTCTTTCTGTCACTGTGATTTTGGCTCTGCTGCTTTTTTGTATGCCTGTGAGTCTCAGTTTCCTTGTGTGTTTTTCTCCCTGCCTCTTGTCCTGTGTTTATCTGGTGTCTGTAAGCCTACCAGCCACATATCAGCATAGAACCTGAAACTACTCTCCTCTCTACCCTCCTTCCTACTCTGATTTTAGTGAGTGCATTTGTCCCCTAGGCAATCCTTCTAGCTGGTTATGCCCTGACTGGCCTCATGCCAGGAGCCCTCCTCCCTCCTCATGTGACTGCTGCCTTCCTCCCCACCCCAGTCTTTGCTTCCCTGCGCTATAAGAGGACCAGGGTGGACTTCAGGGTTTAAAGAGGAGGGAATCTTTGAGGAAGCTTGAAAGATAATCTAAGAGTCCAAAAAGCTTGGCTGTATACATGATGAGCCTGTTTGATTCAGTGGAAGCAGAAGCCCATGTGTGAACAGATGGCCTTTATCTGTACTAGTACACATGACCTGGGGACTAGGTTGTGACATGGGCCAATGTTGCCCTGTTACTTGTGGGCAGAAGATGTGAGGTTGCCTGGTTGAGGTGCTCTCACTCCTATTAGCTACTCAAAGCCAGTCTGGTGACAGTCCTCTTCATTTCCTCCATTTGGCAAGTGGATCCTCAACCATGGGCTCTTAGGGCAGGGTGGGACTCTTGAGAGCCTTTTGGAAAACTGTTTTTTAGAGAGGACTGGATGACCTGCTCCTCCATGGATTATTGTAGAATGTTTAATGTCCTCACCTGTGTGATGATGTGGGGAGGGCTTGAGACAGAAAGGTGATCGATCACATTTTTTGAGTCTGGGAAGGACTGTTTACTCATTGTGGTGAGTCCTCTATTTTTGCTGTTGTTGCTATTGGCCTTGGCTGGGCAGGGTCAGGCTGTCTTCTGTCTTTTCATTCCCGCCAACTCAGGGCCCCTTCCCTTCCGACTCTAGTGCAGGATGAAGGATGGGAAGGGAACCATCCTCTTAAGAAGGGCAAAGTGGGGTGCCCCTTGGGCGGGGCCTGAGTGAAGTGGGCCTGAAGCATGGCCAGACTTTCCTTTGAGGGGTGGCTCTGTACATAGGGTGGTTCTCCTATGTGTTCTACACATGGCTGTGTTGGTGCTGGTATTGACTGAATGTCTCTTGGGCTTTTTTGGATTGTGGAAGATCTCAACTCAGCTCTATCTCTTAGTTCCCATTTCATCAGAACCAGCGGAGGAAGGAGAAAAAGAGGATCTTAGGGTCCATCTGAAGCGACACCATCCTTCGAGTCCTCTTCCTGGCAGTAAGACCTCCAAGCGACCGAAGATTAAGGTGTCCCTTATCTCCCAAGGAGACACAGCTGGAGGGCCTTGTGCTCCTTCCCAGGGAAGTGCTCCAGAAGGTGAGTTTCTCTTGTTATGTTTAATTGAGAACTGACTGAGCTCTCCCAGGTGAACAGCATTGCCCCTTAGTGGCCACTCACCAGGATGTCAGTCAGCCTTGGCTTCATTGTGAGACATGCCTGAAGCAGAGAAAGAGTAAGGCTGCACATTGAGTAAAGTGGGCAGTGAGTCCATCTGAATGAGGGGCAGGCAGGCAGACTATGAGAGGAAGCTGCACCATCATTCAAAGCATCCTATATTTTGTTCTTTTGTTTCAATTAAAGATATAGAATATTTAAGGAAGTTTAGAAAATAGAAGGAAAAAATAACCCCAACTCTCCCTACTCTAGGAATAGTTCATCTTTTTTCATCTTCTAGTTTTTGTCCATAATATCTTGAATTTAGACTAAGTGTGGAACCTGGAAACATAGGGGCCAAATAGGACTGACGAGGGGCCCTGGAGTTTTCTATTTTGCATCTACAGGTGGGAAGCCCATCACCATGACTCTGGGGCAGGCTTCAGCAGGGGCCAAGGAGCTCACAGGACTTCTCACCACAGCCAAGTGAGTGTTGGACCATCTATCCCTATTCTTTTTTTCCCTTAACTCTGTTTCTGGTTCATTTGGTGCTTTGGAAAATGTTGGATCCTGGATTCTGTCAGTTTTGGAAATGTGACTTCCTTCTGATTAGGATCTTTGTCTTGTTATTGGGTCAACTCAGAGTTCATTTTTACTTAAAGATTGCAAAGCCTCCCCTGGCTTTTGCTGTAAGTCCTGAGGACTTTTAGAAGACTAGAGATCAGGTTCAGAAAATAGGACAAAGAAACTGAAGGTTCTTGGTTTGTGTCTGCTGCTTAAAGCCATGCTGAACCCCACTCTGGACCCTGCCTGTGTTGCTAGGGCTTGCTATCCTGTGAACTTTGAATAACAGAGCTCCTTCCTTTGTCTCCAGGTCCAGTGCTTCTGAAGGTGGAGTCTCAGCCAGCCCAGCCCCTTCAGTGGTCTCCAGCAGCACTGCACCCAGTGCCTTGCACACACTGCAGAGCCGCTTAGTGGCCACCTCTCCTGGCAGCTCCCTCCCAGGTATCTTGTGGCCCAGCATTCTCTCCTTCCAACACAAAATTTTTGGTCTGCTGCTGGCGGGTGGTTCTGTGAAAGCATCCCTGGAGCAAAATCTGACGGATGGGCCTCTGGGACTCAGGGTGGTTGTAGATTCTTAAGGTGAAGCTGGAATTAGCTTGGGCAGAGGGATTCCTTGGCCTTGAATAAATGCAGTGAGTAAACGTCCTGGTCTGCAGGTGAGTAAATGTTCCAGTCTACAGGTGCTGTATCCTCTACTGTAAGAAGAAATAGCTGATAGGAGATATATGTATAGTCAGCCTTCCTTATCCACAGAAGATTGATTCTAGGACCCTTGCCACTACCAAATTCTACAGATGCTCAAGTCCTTTTTATTAAATTGTGTTATAGAGTTGGCATTCCATATCCACAGGTTTCTGTCCGTGGTTGTTTGAATCTGTGAATCTGCTATAAAGCCCACAGATACTGAGGGCTATTGTTTCATTTTGCTGTTGTAAGCACATCTCACTAAATAAAACTGGAAATGGTGCTATACTGGGCATTAGCAAAATGAGACATTTTTCTATCTGTGCTTGTCTCTCGCTTTGTCCTACTCCCTAACCCTGCTTTGAAAGGCCTTTTGCCTGAGCCCAGCAGAGCCAAGGCATTGCAGAAACCCTTCTGGCCAGGTGCGGTGGCTCACACCTGTAATCCCAGCACTTTGGGAGGCCGAGGTGGGTGGCTCACCTGAGATCAGGAGTTCAAGACCAGCCTGGCCAATATGGTGAAACCCTATCTCTACTATAAATGCAAAAAATTAGCTGGGCCTGGTGACGGGCGCCTGTAATCCCAACGACTTGGGAGGCTGAGGCAGGAGAATCGCTTGAACCCCAGAGGTGGCGGTTGCAGTGAGCCAAGATCGCGCCATTGCACTCTTGCCTGGGCAACAAGAGTGAATCTCTGTCTCAAACAAATAAACAAACAAAGAAACCCTTGTTGTTTAAGAGAATCTTCCTTATTACTTTGAAGCTACTTCCTTACTGCATTGATTATGTGAGGTGAAGTGAAACTTGGGTATTTAGAATTCTTTTGGCTTAAAAAATTATTCCCTGGAAAGAAAGGAAGGAACTTGAATTTCTCAAAGTGGTCCAAAATGTATGACTGATGGTTTGCAGCAGGTGCAGAGCAAGTTCAGGGAAGTGTTTGGCATAGTACCTTTCCTGTGTGCCATCTATTGCGTGTGTGCCTGGCTGGGGAGATCTTTTGGCCTTCTTTCTGAGGACAGGAGGGTGTTTGTTCAAGAGCAAGCACCATTGATGTTTTAGTTGGTGGTGAGGGTGGATGGATGTGGCTGCTCTTGGGATAGTGCAAGTGATTGAGTCTCTACTGATTTCTGCTACGTCCTCTCTTAGGGGCCACATCAGCCAGCAGCCTTCTCCAAGGCCTCAGCTTCAGCTTGCAGGATATCAGCAGCAAGACCTCTGGCCTTCCAGCAAATCCCTCCCCAGGACCAGCCCCACAGGTGCACATCTGCTTTCTGCTGGGCTGGGCAGTTGTAGGGAGGAGGCCTCCTCAGCTTAGTTGGTTTTGGCAGGGAAACTAGGTTTGGAGTCAGTGGGTCAAGGGCAGATATCCTAGCTACACAACGGTGATCTTCCAGAGGTTAAGGTCTATCACTTACTGTGTGACCTTGGGCAAGTTTCTTGACCACTCTGTTTTTGTTTCCTGGTCTATAGTACCTCCCTCATAGAGTTGTTGTAAGAATGAAATAATATATGCAAAATGCCTGGAAGAGTACCTTGCATGTAGTAGGCACTCAGTACATATTAGCCTTTAATAATATGCTGTGGGCCCTCCAAACTCGAATGTTGCTGTTGGGCAGCAGCTTCTGATCACCTGGGCTTGTGTGTCCCACAGGCCACCAGTGTGAAGTTGCCCACCCCCATGCAGAGCCTGGGTGCCATCACCACGGGCACCAGCACCATTGTCCGTACCATTCCTGTGGCCACCACTCTCTCCTCCTTGGGTGCCACTCCTGGTGGGAAGCCCACAGCCATCCACCAGCTGCTGACCAATGGGGGCCTCGCTAAGTTGGCAAGCAGCCTCCCTGGCCTGGCTCAGATCTCTAACCAAGCATCAGGTGAGTCTCTCATGAGAACTGTGGGGACTCCCAGATCTGGGATCTTCCCTCAGGACCTTCCCATTTCATGTGGGCAAGGTATGATGTTGAACGCAGTCCCACAGGGTCCTGGCATTGACCTTCGGATTCAGTTGTGTGGACCCATCCTTCAGAGAGGTTGAGAGAACACAGGCTGTTTCCTGTTGCCTTTCAGATTGACTGATAGGGTATAGATGACCCAGCTGGGTTGGAGGCCAAGGGGCTGTGTTATGTGGGGGAGAAACTCTTCAGGAAAGGAAAACCTCAGCAGAAGGTGGAGAGTGTGACTCAAAAATACTGCTTCTCTCTCCTTATCTCAGGCTTGAAGGTCCCCACCACCATCACTCTGACACTTCGTGGCCAGCCAAGCAGGATCACCACGCTGAGCCCCATGGGCTCAGGAGCAGCTCCATCTGAGGAGCCTCCTTCCCAGGTGCTGCCCTCCAGCTCACAGGTGAGTCTGCCAGAAAGGACTGAGGACATGGGCTTCAATACTGGGAAGTTTGACTTCAATCAGCTGACTCACTGATTGAAGGGGCTGCCTGTGCACTGGAAAGATGAGGTTCAGATTCAAATCTGGACTCTGGAGTTTGTGGCTTTATAATTTTGAGTGAACCATGGACCTCTTTGAGTCTCCTCTTCTACATCTCTCCCTGGATATTGTGAAGATTACATATGTTCAAGGGAGTAGCAGTCTTCAAGCTGGCCTTGAACCCTAGGCTTAAGCAATCCTCCTGCCTCAGACCCAAAGTATAATACTCTTTTCTTTTATTTGAGGTGGAGCCTTGCTCTGTCACCAGGCTGGAATGCAGGGGTGCAATCTCGGCTCACTATAACCTCCACCTCCTGGGTTCAAGCGATTCTTCCACCTCAGCCTCCCGAGTAGCTGGGACCACAGGCACATGCCACCACACCCGGCTAATTTTTTTGTATTTTTAGTAGAGACGGGGTTTCACCATGTTGGCCAGGATGGTCTCGATCTCTTGACCTCGTGATCTGCCCACGTTGGCCTCCCAAAATGCTGGGATTACAGGCATGAGCCACCGTGCCCGGCTGATACTCTTTATTTGACATTGGCTTTTTAGCACTGTGCCTTCCCATATCTTAGCATTTATTGCTGTCTTTTTAGGGCACAGCTAGGTTTTTATAGGTCTTACCCAGGAAGTCATGATTAGTTCTTCTTAGCTGATCTGATTTCCATTGTGACCTTTACAAGTCAAATGTTTCTAATCTTAAAACGGTGATCTGAGGAGCCACTCAAAGATTAGAAGTTAGGCCCCAAAACAGTTTGAGTCCAATATTGAGTGTGCTTTCCTTCAGTATCTGCTGTGCAGCTGAGGCCTTCCTTATGTGTCCCTGTCCTTTCCATCACATCAACCTGCTTGGGAACTGGGGTGCAAGTGATAGTTCCTGAGCCATTCTGAAAGCTCTTCTGTCTCTTCCTCTTTAGGGAAAATACTGCAGAGAGATCAGCATGTGACATTCATTGGGGTTGTAGCTACCTTTTTTTGCAGAGGGATGTAAATGTTTTTATTTTATTTCTTTTTTAATTATAAAATGATAATGCTTATTTTAAATAATTCAAACATTATAGAAATAATTAATTTAGAAAGGGAAAATTTCCCATGATGCTATTCCCAGAGATGATGTTCACTATTAATAGCTTGATATGGATCCATTCAGATTTTTTTTTCCCTACACAAAGTATGTTATTTTATTTATTTTGTACAAATATAGGATCACAGAGTATGGATTACTATGTAACTTGCCTTTTTTTATAAATCATGTCGTGACACATTTCCCTGTCTGTGTCTTTTCAGAGGCTGGCTAGTATTTCTTTTTCTTTTCTTTCTTTCTTTTTTTGAGACTGAGTCTTGGTCTTGTCACCCAGGCTGGAGTACAGTGGCAGGATCTCAGCTCACTGCAACCTCTGCCTCCCAGGTTCAAGCAATTCTCCTGCCTGAGCCTCCTTAGTAGCTGGGATTACAGGTGCACACTAACACACCCAGCTAAATTTTTTGTATTTTTAGTGGAAATGGGGTTTTACCATGTTGGCCAGGCTGGTCTCAAACGCCTGAGCTCATGATCTGCCCACCTCAGCCTCCCAAAGTGCTGGGATTACAGACTTGAGCCACCACGAGAGGCTGGCTAGTATTTCACTGGGTAGGTGGATGAAGGTGTATTTCACCACCTCCTATTAGGTAGATAACTGGGTTCTATCTTGGTTTTTGATATTTTAAAAAATGCTGTGATGAACACTCTTGCTCATCATTCTTGTGTACCTCTGGGAGCATTTCTTTAGCCTAGAGAATAAGTAGAGCATGTGTACGTTTATTATCTGGGCAGCTGCTCACTAACTGCCCTTCAAAAAGTTTTGCTACTTTACAGTTCTACCCATGGTGATGAATATGTCTGTTTCATATACTTTTATCTGTTGTGGAAATCAATATTATTAACTTCATTAATCTGGGTGAAAAATGAAATGGTTTTAATGTGCATTTTCCTGATTACTTATGCAGTTGTATGTCTTTCATGTTTGTCTTACTCTTTATTTGTGTTATAGTGGCTTTATATATTCAGATGTTAATTTTTTATTTGTTATAAAAGTTGCATACATGTTATTCCTGTTAGTGGCTCATTTTTTTTTACTTTCTATTGAAGCATTGAATGTCTTTTAACTTTTATTTCTGGATCATACAGCCATTTAAATTTCTCATATAGTAAAATCTTTGAATATTTTCCTTTATAGCTACAAAGTTTTGTGCCTTAAGAAAGCTAGCCCTATCACAAAAATATAAAAGTAATCCTTTTTCTTTTTAAGATTGTAATTGTGGTGAAGCATATATAACATACAATTTACTATTTTAGCCATGTTTCAAGCATGCATTTCATTAGCATTGAGCACATTCACATTGTGCTACAGCTATCACCACCATCCATCTCCAGAACTTTCTGTCATCCCATACTGAAACTCTCTCTTTGTGTTTTCTTGTAATGCTTTTCTTTAGTTTAATTCCTTATAGTTCACTTGGAGTTCACTTTTGTATGTTAAGTGAGGTAAGGATGAGTCCATTCATCATTCCTCCACTCATCTAAAATCCACTGCTCTCAACATTCTAAAGTACTGAATACACATGGGCCTGTTCTGCAGTTTTGTTTTCTTTTGAGACAGTCTCACTCTGTCACTCAGGTTGGAGTGCAGTGGCACAATCTTGGCTCACTGCAACCTCTGCCTCCCAAGTTCAGAAGATTCTCCTGTCTCAGCCTCCTCAGTAGCTGGGACTATAGGCTCGAGCTTCCCTGCCTGGCTAATTTTTGTATTTTTAGTAGAGACAGGGTTTTACCATTTGGCCAGGCTGATCTTGAACTCCTGACCTCAAGTGATCTACCCACCTCGACCTCCCAAAGTGCTGGGATTACAGGTGTCAGCCACCCTGCCCAGCCAACATTTCCTTTTAATCAGTTGAAATGATGTTACTTTAATAGGTTTCCTAATAGTATATCAAACTGTGTGAATTCCAGATTCAGTGGCTTTTTTGGTGTGTCCTATTCTTTTTATTGTACATACAGGGAAAAAAGACCCTATCAAAAGAACAAAATGAAAAAAGAAAGAAGCTGAGTATTTCAAAAGAGAAGCATGTCTACTCTGTTTTATTTTACTTAGGATTTTGGCATCTATATTAACCTCCTCAGGCTTTGGCCTATAGTTTTCTTCCCCTCCACCCCCTACTTTTGTGTCTGTGTGGCGTGCTTTCATTTGTCTAGTTATGCGAAAGGGGTAATTCAATCTTTGTAGAATGACATGGGAAGTGCTTTTCCCCTCTTATACTCTAAAACAATTTTATAGTACAGAAATGATCATTCCCTTGATGGTTTGATAGAAGTGGCCTACAAAGCCATTTGGGCCTATTTTTAGGATGTCTTCACCTTTGCTGATGCCATGTTGATGCACAACTAGAACACAGATTCTGCCGTGTAATGAAGGAAAAATCCTGTGTTAGGTGGTCAGTCTCAGCTTGCCATGGCCTGGGCAAGCTGGTTACTGTTGAGAAGAGAGTAGAGGTCATTGAGAATCCCCCTATTCTGTGGCTAAATTGAAGCACAGAATAAAGATCAAGGTCTGGCTTTGTAACTGATGATGTTAACGTGAGATTAGTTTTCATCTTAATAAAATGGGTGTGTAATTGCTAGGAGGGGTCAGGTGGTGATTGTTTTCTAACAAGCAAGGGGATGTTATTAGATTAAGGCTTCTTGCTGATTCAAAAGCTTCTAATAGTTAACTCAGTGTTCAGACTGCCAGACAGAGCACTGGAGACTATGGGTCAGGTCATCTCTTTTCAGCCGGCTTTGTGATCCTGGGCAAATCACCTAGCCTTTCTGGGCTTTGGTTTTCTTACCTGGTTAAGTGAGGAAATTGGCTTAAGTCAGTGACTCTTGTGATGGCAGGATCAGAATCTCCTCAGGCTTTGGGAACATGAAGTTATAAATGCTTAGAAGCAAACTACCCATTTTTTGACATTTATGAGGCAATAGGAAATTTGAAAACTGACTGGACAGTTGTTGATACTATGGAATTATTAACTTTTTTAATGTGTGATAATGGTATTGTTGTTAGGATTTTAAAAACAGTCCTTTTTTATTTTGGGGTTCCATAATGCAGTATTTATGGATGGAATGAATTTGAAAAGTGAGCACCAACTAGACTTCTCTAAGAACTATACAAGCAATTATCTGTTTTGTTTCTGGCACTGATTGGTATTTGCTACATGTTTCCTTTATGGGAATGGAGTATTGTGTACTTCTCACAGCTGAAAAGCTGCAGGGAAGAAGAGGACAGTGACTGTTGTGCCCTGCGTCAGAGTCCAGAAAATGGACTCCCTGCCTGTGGTTATAAGATCTCTCTCCTCTCTGTCCTGTTGGCCATACCGGGACCTGGTCAGCCTGGCAGGCAGCACTTCTAGCTGGAGGCCTATGGCAGTGGGCCTCATTGTAGCCTTGTAGCAGGCCGTGGGTGAGCTGGCTCACTCTAAGGTGTATTCATAATCGGAATAGAGTGATCATCTGTGCATAGCCCTGCCTTTGAGCAAAGGAACCCATGAGGTTTGGTTTTTGTTTCTTATAGAGATGGGGTTTTACTATATTGCCCAGGCTAGTCTGGAACTCCTGGGCTCCAACAGCCTCCCAAAGTGCTGGAATTGAAATCATGAGGTTTTGATTATCAAACTCTTCATTTCTTTCCTCATGTGCCTTCCATCTTTCCTCCTTTTTTTTTTTTTTCACTCTGTCACCTAGGCTGGAGTACAGTGGTGTCATTATGGCTCACTGGAGTCTCAACCTCTTGGGCTCAAGCAATCCTGTGCCCTTGGCCTCCTGAGTAACTGGGAGTAAAGACATGCATCACTATGCCCACCTAATTTAAAAAAATTTTTTGTAGAGAAGGGCTAAGTTGCCCAGGCTGATCTTCAACTTCTGGGCTCAAGCAATTTTCCTGCCTTGGTCTCCCAAAGTGTTGGAATTATAGTCATGAGCTACCTTGCCTGGCCATTCCTTACTGCATTCTGAGAGACCTCTTAGGAGTTTACTGAGGGTGAAATTTAGAAAAGTGGGGAAAGCCTTGGTGAAAAAGGCCACCCTCTCTACTTGGTTCCTTACTCTTAGGCTGTAGGGCTCAACATTGACAGCATCCTCCACACACCTATACGTCTAAGACCTCAAAATCGATAGTGTCAAAACAGTCATGGGAATCTTCCCTTCTGTTGCCCTTTACAACTCACCTATTTCCTATTTCTGCCTATCTTTTCTGTCCTCATGCATAGTAATAATAAAAGGGGACCTTTGTAGTTGAGCACATATTACACTGAGGTGCTTTATGTGGATTATCTCATCTAATTCTCATAGTGACCCTGGCAAGTAGATGCTGTCATCTGCCTCTTACAGGCGATGTAAGGGGCTCATCTGCCTCTTACAGGCGATGTAAGGGGGCTCATCTGCCTCTTACAGGCGATGTAAGGGGCTCATCTGCCTCTTACAGGCGATGTAGGGGGCTCATCTGCCTCTTACAGGCGATGTAAGGGGCTCATCTGCCTCTTACAGGCGATGTAAGGGGCTCATCTGCCTCTTACAGGCGATGTAAGGGGCTCATCTGCCTCTTACAGGCGATGTAAGGGGGCTCATCTGCCTCTTACAGGCGATGTAAGGGGCTCATCTGCCTCTTACAGGCGATGTAAGGGGCTCATCTGCCTCTTACAGGCGATGTAAGGGGGCTCATCTGCCTCTTACAGGCGATGTAAGGGGGCTCATCTGCCTCTTACAGGCGATGTAAGGGGCTCATCTGCCTCTTACAGGCGATGTAAGGGGCTCATCTGCCTCTTACAGGCGATGTAAGGGGCTCATCTGCCTCTTACAGGCGATGTAAGGGGGCTCATCTGCCTCTTACAGGCGATGTAAGGGGCTCATCTGCCTCTTACAGGCGATGTAAGGGGGCTCATCTGCCTCTTACAGGCGATGTAAGGGGCTCATCTGCCTCTTACAGGCGATGTAAGGGGCTCATCTGCCTCTTACAGGCGATGTAAGGGGCTCATCTGCCTCTTACAGGCGATGTAAGGGGCTCAGAGAACACAGGCACTTGCCTTAAAAGTGGAACGTTGAGTTGCTGACTCTAGAATCCATGTTCTGTTAACCACTTGGCAGCTAGAACACATGTCCTGTATATACAGCTTTTTTCCTATTGAGAATTACTTCTTTAAAATAAATTCTCAGGATTTGGAATAATTGGGTTAAAGGCTCTGAATGTGATGATAACCTCTCAAAGCTTTGACCCTTCTTCACTACCTCTCCTGCCACAGCGCCTGCCTCCAGCACCCTGAAGATGCCATGTGATATGTCCTCCTTACCAAGTTGGTGATGGCTGTCTCATGGTGTGCCCTGGGCACGTATGTGGTCCTGCTGAGTTGTCCACGTGTCTGAAGACCTCTTTAAGACAGTCATTTTTGCCTCTCTGCCAACTGTCTTCAGAGTTGGGCTGTTGAGTCTTCATAGAAACCATTAGGTTAGGTGATATGGCACCAGCAAGGGAAGCACCATCGTTCAGGATCTGCAATTCTGGTTCCTGGGCTCCCCAGCCTCCTCAGCAGATCTGACTGTGCATGGATCAGAGGCACTTTTTCCCCTGCTTAAGCTGTGGTTTGACCCAAACGTCAGTATTGGACTGCCTGCTGCATAATGAAGGTGTTGCCTTATGGAGGTGTGTGCTACCCTCTGTGCCCAGTTGGGAGGAGACATCCATGTGGTATGAGACTTTTGGGCTTCGGGAGTTGGAATGGAAAGCCCTTTGCTAAAGATTGGAGTCATCCTGGCCTGCCAGCTGGTGGTTCAGAGCCAGAAGGGCTTGTTTTGGACATCACTGTTGCCTTCGCTGAGCAGCCATGGGAGAGTGTTCCTCATGCAACTCCACCTTAGAAACCACGCCAGATACTGAGTAGCTTGCTGACACCTGAAAACTTCCATTTTTTGTTAGTACAGGCAAAGAAAACTAGACTGTCATTTTTCAGCCTCTTTGACTTACTCTACATGTTCGGAGCGGTGGTTGCCAGGTGAAACCTGGCCCCTTTGTCTCTTTTAC